GGACATTACACTGAAAAAATACAGTCATTCTGGCGAGGCCGGCTCTGGAAGAACTAGTTAGTATAAAAGAATTTTCAGGGAGTCACACGGACTCCTGCTATATGGTCAAATCAGGGCAGTCGGCAGTAAATCCGGGGAGTATTTGACTCCGGATCGACGTTAATTCGCGCCCGTGGCCTCTGATGGCACGTTGTTGTGTCGTAATTGACGCACTGCAGGTGTGTTTGGTGCTCGTGTAAGAGTTTCCTACTGTCCGCTGGCCGTCTGCCCTACTGAATGAACCTCTTCACGCCTCAGCGGCGTAGGCAACTGGAAACCCTCGTCTCTCGATTGCCAACAGTCGCTGTAGATCATCCTGCTAGGCGTGAGTCGCTCAGGTGAACAAAAATACCCGGGGCTCGGGGCCGATTTAGCCCCCGAAATGCCATAAAGAGGCCCCCCTTAAATTTGCATCAGAGTTCGAATGCAAACCAAATTTTTATGAGATGCCTATTTTGATGCCACGCCGAGCTTGAAAATAGACCCCCGAAAAATTAATTTTAATTTTTTCCGCTGTGAGTCGCTGTATGTTGTATCCTGGCTAGGCGTGAGCGCTGTATTTGTATCGCTGCTAGGGTGAGTCGCTGTATGTTGTATCCTGCTAAGGCGTGAGTCGCTGTATGGTGTATCCTGCTAGGGTGCAGTAGCTGTATGTTGCATCCGGCTAGGGTGAGTCGCTGTATGTTGTTATCTGCTGCTAGGGTGAGTCGCTGGTATGTTGTATCCTGCTAGGCGTGAGTCGCTGTATGTTGTAGTCCTGCTAGGGTGAGTCGCTGTAATGTTGGCATCCTGCTGCCTAGGGTGAGTGGCTGTATGTTTATCTCTGCTGAGCGGTGAGTCGCTGTATGTTGTATCCTCTGCTAGGGTGAGTCGCTGTAGTGTTCCTTATTCCGCTAGGCGTGAGTCGCTGTATGTGTATCCTGGCTAAGGGTGCAGTCGGCTGTATGTTGTATCCCTGCTTAGGGTGAGTTTTGCTGTTATTTGTATTCCTGCTAGAGGGTGAGTCGCCATTGGTATGTTTGTACCTGCCTGCTAGGGTGAGTCGCTGATGTATCTGTGCTGGTGATCCTTTTGACCTGCTAGGGTGAGTCGCTGTAATCGTTGTATCCTGCCGCTAGGGTGAGTCTCGGCTGTATGTTGTATCCTGGCTAGGGTGAGTACGCTGTATGTTGTATCCTGCTAGCGGTGAGTCCTGCTGTATGTTGTATCCTGCTAGGGTGAGTCGCTGTATGTTGTAGTCCTTGCTGGCTAGGGTGAGTCGCTGTATGTTGTATCCTGCGCTAGGTGAGTCGCTGCTAATGTGTGTATAACCTGCTAAGGTGAGTCGCCTGTGTTGTATCCTGCTAGGTGAGTCCGCTGTACAGTGTTGTATCCTGCTAGGGTGAGTCGCTGTATGTTGTATCCTGCTAGGGTGAGTCGCTGTATGTTGCATCCTATGATGAGTCGCTGTATGTTAGTTCCTGCTGAGGGTGGTCGCTGATGTTGTATCCTGCCTGCTAGGGTGAGTCGCTGTATGTTGTATCCTGCTGCTAGGGTGAGTCGCTGTATGTTGTATCCTGCTAGGGTGAGTCGCTGTATGTTGTATCCTGCTAGGGTGAGTCGCTGTATGTTGTATCCTGCTAGGGTGAGTCGCCTGTATGGTTGTATCCTGCTAGGGTGAGTCGCTGATGTTGTATCCTGCTAGGGTGGTCGCCTGTATGTTGTATCCTGCTAGGGTGAGTCGCTGTATGTTGCATCCTGCTAGGTGGAGTCGCCCTGTATGTTGTATCCTGCTAGGGTGAGTCGCTGTACGTTTAATGCGAAAAAATTTACGTTAAATTTTTTTATGCCATTTAATTTAGATTGAAAACGTTGGACCCAGTTTCAATGTGATTGCAAGGTGGAACAATTTGACTCTCTGAATTCCGACGCCCAATTCCAACGCGCTAAACAGTTGTGCTCAGAGCGTGGCTCTGCGCAAAGTGCCTGCATGTGTTATTTGTTACCATGTTATGAATCGCTCAGGATGGGTGTGCTATAGAAAAATTCTTGCCATCATCTCTCAGGTTGAGTTTCACTACGGCTTTGAAGATTTTGTTCGCGTCGGCAGCCTCCGAAAGATGGGCCAAGCCTCTTGCTGCCCTACAGTGTGATGGCGGCCTCTGGTGGCGAGAATCAGCAACTACGAGAACTGCAAGAGATGCTCAAGGAGACCTCATTCCTTCGGAGAAGTTGTGAGTTTAACGTTGCTTGTACTCGCGACGACGGGTACACACATCAAACCTTTTCTCACTAGCTCATTAATAAATACGCCACATTTGCCTACGTTCTATATAGTAGAGCGACATAACGGTTCGGGTGCCTGCTTCGTGTGTATGTGCAAATGATACTGTACTGTTACGACTTTTTGTTCGTTATCTTCGTGGTATGATTGCCTGCGATGGGTCCATATCCACCCCACACTAAGGAACGAACGAATATAGCGTATTATAAACATTTCACACACAAACAATGATATTTTTACTCTTCGCACGATTGAACGTACATCTCTAATTAATCCCTGTGTGCGTGCGCACGGGTGCGTGTGTGTTGCAGCTACGTGAGGCGAAGCATTGAGGCTGTGCCGACTAGGTGTGAACCAGCAGCGACTGGGCAGGGTCAAGGTCGTCGGTGTCACTCCGCCTGCATGCACGTTCCCATGCATGGCAGCGATGAAGTTCGCGGTGAGTGAAAATCTTATTTGTATTGCCGCAGGGCAAGAGCAGACAGACAATTATATGTGTGTGTGTGTGTGTGTGTGTGTGTGTGTGTGCGGGTGTGCCGTGCGTGCGTGCGTGACGTGCGGTGCGTGTGTGTCGGCGTGCGTGCGTGTGTGTTTGTGTGTGTGTGCATTGTGTGTGTACGTACGTTAATTTTCTGGCATGCATGCATGCATGTGGTCCGTACGTCTGTGTATGTTCATGTGTTGTGTGAGTGCGAGCTCGTGTGTGTGTTGTGCGTGTGTGCATGCGTGTCTACGTACGTTAATTCTCTGCGTGCATGCATGCATGTGCGTGGTAATACGTCTGTGTGTGTTCATGTGTGTGTGAGTGCGAGTGTGTGCACAGTGTGTCTGCTACAGAAATCTCTGTACAAAACAAATATCTGCCCTAATATACAGCAATTCAGCTTTTAAAGATCATATTTGGCCTCACAGTTCAGAGCCAGAAGGAAATGGTGATAGTGCCCTCACTCTCCCTCCAGTGATTTTAATTCGAATTCGCTTTCATTACTGGAACGCATCTCCAGTTATATAATGAAAGTCAATCAATGAGAAAACATGGATTCATGTTTTTGGTTTTTTATTTTATAAGCGTGTATTTTCGAACATTTTACTTAAGCCAGCCGGGTGTAATTATGTAAGTTATTTTGCTTTGTTCTTAACATTTAGGCCAAATTATTGATTTCCACATCTGTATCTTAGTTAATTTTTCTCAATTTTGGTAAGAAAACCAGTCAATCAAATCGGCTTCTATCACCCGCCCCACAGGTGGTGTTGCTTGATGAATGTTCGCCAGATGACCGAACCGCTCTCACTACTCCAATCGCTCCTTTCGCACTGTCGAAAACTGGTCCTCGTTGGCGACCCTAAGAGTAAGCACTTGCTACGCACACGATACTTGTATCGAAACCAACGTGGAACATTACATTGCAGGTTTGATTATCATTTAATGAACCTACCTAGCAATTAGTAAAGTATTCACCAATAAAACCAGTTAGCACTGGGATGGCGTCTAATTCTGTGTAACAGTTACCAGCCGTATCTGCTACTTGTTCCATTACTTACTCTTTTTTGTTCAGTTACTTGCCTGTGGTAAAGCTGGGCTTGAGCTTGAGCTTACCTTTTACCTCAAACGTACCTTAATGGTGACATATGCCTATAGCTAGCATGACTCCGCGCATGTCAACCTTTTAACTATTTACTAACTTGATCAGAGCGAAGAGTCGTAGTAAGAAATATGGTGTTTTTGAGCAGAGTATAATATATAATAATAACAAGAGTACATAATGGGAGAAGAGTATGACACTGTTTAACAGCGTTTTTGCGTAGTTTTTAACTTGAATTTATTCTATCAATTATCGTGAATATAATATATTCAAACTTTACCTTGTTCGTCTCGGATTTCCCTTAATCATATGACACCACCATTTACCTGAAAATCGTATGTGTTCTTCAAAAAAGTTCTTTGAATACGACATGTGTTTCACACAGTTTTCCAAACGTTTGCGTTCCCAGAATCCGAGACAAAAACAAGGTAGAGTTTGAATATATAAATATTTATTCACATATTGATAGAATAAATTCAAGTTGAAAACTACGCAAAACGCTGTTAAAACTGGGTCATTATCTCTATTAACTCTTCTTCCATTATGTACTCTTGATAATGATAAGTATGAAAATATATGATAAGTATGAATAATATAATAATGAGTATAATATAGAGGCTCCTTAATAATTGATTCCTCGCAGTGAATCTCAGACTCCTAGAACCTCCGCCTGTTTTTTCACCTGCAGCAATTAGCTCCAACCGTGGCAGGGTACAAAGGGTGACCTTTGACGACGACCTTCAGCAGACGCTGTTCGACAGGCTCATGAGAGCTAGTAAGTATACGACCTCCGGTTACATTTGCGTGACCTTCCTGCCGAACTTGTAGTCAGTCGTGACAGCGTCTATGAATCATAGCGTGGGATATGACGTGTGTGCGTTTATACATGCATTTTTGTTCATATTTTTTATAGTAGACAAAACTGTAGCTTTGTTTGGATATTACTCATCCTTCGGCGGCTTCGGCTGTAGGATTACAGTCCAGTGATGCTGAGAACGCAGTACCGCTGCCATTCCACACATCAGCGCCATCGCTAATGATCTGTTTTATGATGGGTGCCTACGAGATGAGTCACCTACACTGAGAGGGCACCGCTAATGGTATGCGTGTGTTACTTACACCTGTGTGTACATATTTATTCTTTGGGGTAAGTAGTGCTCGTAGGGTCTATGTCCCCCTGACCTCTGTTTGACCTGCGCTCGTTTAGCTATTTCTGACTAATAGCCCTAACCCTAACCCTATATATATATTATACTATATATATATATATTACTATTAGTCAGAAATAGCTAAACGAGCCAGGTCAAACAGAGGTCAGGGGGACATAGACCTTATCTGCGTAAGTAGTTGCCCTCCGTTTGCGAGCGCTTACGTATGGCACCTGTTTCAGGAGTGGCTACCGACTCTGTGCTTCTACAATGTCTCGCATGGTTCGGAGTGTGCCAGCAGACACGGCAGCTACTACAACAATGCGGAGGTTGCATTCATTATGGCGTTGATCGAATCCCTTCTTGCAAGCGGAACGGAACCGACTGCTATAGGTACAGAGCGTTCGAGAAGTAAGGAGGGAAGGGGAGATAAGTAAAGGAGTGAGAATAATGGTAAAATAAGGAAAGGGAGGAGGTGAAAGACGGAAGTGAGAGGAAATGGGGGGAGGAGAGGAGGAAGAAGAAAGAGGAGGGGGAGAAAGAGAGAAAAAAGGAGAGCAGATCGTTAGGGAATAATGAAGAGAAGGATAGTACATACTAACTAGGCAATCACACCAGTGATACTCTCTGTGTCTTAATTTCCAGGAGTTATCACCTTATACAAGGCCCAGGCAAGCTCAATCAATACAGCTTTCCAGCAGTCAAAGTGAGTAGCCATTACAGAAGGTACTGATATCTTTAGAAAGCACAACATAGCATACGTTTAAATGCACATATTATAGCATATATAAAAATGTTGTATGTAAATTTTGCAAAGACTCGCATGTGCATGGCCCTATCTGAATCTCATATAATATGTTGAAACAAGTAAATTTAGCTATATTTTGTTCAATGTCTTCTCTCACAATTTTGTCCGTTCTGTCACCTTGGTCTGTCTGAATCTGTTGTTATTTATATGAACGTCATTGTGGGCGTTAGGATCCGCCATTCACAAATGTGTGTTAATCAACCAATCAGAGACGAGTGCATTTTAGCCTGTGCTGCAGAAATACCTGGGCAATGAAACGTGGTTCTATAATGTCTCACACGATATATTCGCTCACATCCCACACACGCTCACCCGCACCTCCGTGTACGTATAGATCAACTGAACAATGGACAGATAAGTGTGTGGATCTGGCAGACGTTCTGAATCCCATTCGCGCCCCACGCACATCTTTGCAGGGTGCTTGAGGCGTCTGCTAGACGTAGCGTGCAAGTTTCGACAGTCGATGCATTCCAGGGAGGCGAGAAAGATGTGATCTTGTTGTCGTGCGTTCGAACGAAGAACGTGGGATTCATCGACTGCAAAAGGTTGAGACACGAGTACAGAGGCTTCATGTTAGAGCCTACAGGTGGCAGCACCACCCCGTGAGACGACTCACAATATCGACTTCAGTTATTGCTATCATAAAATATTTAGAGAGCTTTATGTTAGAGTTTACAGCTAGCAGCTAAGTTAACTGTTTGCTGAGAGAGAGGGAACATTATCCTTAATGCTTGCATTTACAGACGAACAAACGTCGCTCTTACGAGAGCAAAGCACCACCTGGTTATCATCGGCAGTGATTCCGTTCTGTCTCAGAATCCACTGTGGAGCAGTGTGCTGCGTCATTGCAAAGGTAATGTGTCTTCAGCGAGGAGGGGAAGTAACAGGTCGCAGTGTTTACAGGGTGGCGATTTAATTAATTATCGTATTGCAAGTATGCAGAGCTTTGGCAATGTTGTTCTCTCTCTCCCTCCCTTCGTACTCTCTCTCTCACACTCCCTTTCTCTCTCTCACCTATCTCTCTTTCTTTGTCCCACTCTCTTAGACACACACACACACTTTCTCTCATGGTCTCTCTCTCTCACTCTCTTCATGCAGGGTATCCACGCGGGTTTCAGAGTGCAAGCATAGCACTCTCTAGCATCAGGGAGGTATCGAAGAAAGAAACTTGACATTGCAACTATTAGAGGGCACCACTATCAAAATATGCAATATGTTGACGAGTCCATGAGAGTTTGACAGGTGATCGAACTTTCAATGTTTTCTGTTCTCAGATTGTGTTCTATATGTAATTAAAGTCTATTCATGTGTTTTATATGAAGAAATATATCATTATGATAATATTCATGAACAAATTTGTACAAAACTCTGTATTTTCTGATTTTGTCATTCAGTACATAACAATTTTTTGTGACTTTCTATAATTAAATCTTCACGCTTCAGCCTGATAGACTGTAGCGTAGCTACGTTATTTATTATGGAATGTGAATAAATACATATTCTTCAGTATCGATGTTTTTAATCATCTTTGATATCGAAATCACATTATATGCGCCTAGTTATATTAATATGTAAATTATTTATATATACATAAATATATAACGTGGTTATTTAAAAAGTGCATAATTTACAGTTTATTACTAATGCTGAAAGCAAATACTTAACAAACTTTGCACATAATCGTTTCTCTATACCAGTTTTTAATGGTACATATTGCAGGGGCTTCTAATATGTTGATTGTCAATAAAGTTTATAGAAATTATTAATAATATTCAATATCTAGAATATTATTAGAATTCATAATCTCAAAAACGTTTCACTACAAGGATGCATATGTACTCCAATCTGCATCAGAAACGTCTGCAATGACGTGCACCATGAGCAGGATACATCATCGCCTAAAACCACGATGAAAACCCTTCCTTTCTGTAATCTAGCCGATTCGTCAAAATCAGGCCAACTATGTTTAAAATAATAATTTTTAGTGCATGTGAAGAGATAGGCACATAGAATAGAAGAGATACAAGAGATAGAAGAGATAGAGATATGTCACATACTGATCCACCAGAGACATGACGGGACAGGTTAGTGAAGTAAATTAACAGTGGCCCCATAGCGCTACGCTCGGACATGCTGCTTGTAAAACTAGGTTACCATCATAAGCAAAGATACTTGGCCTAACGGTGGAAGGTAAGAGGACGGTTGTGCACTAGTCTTCTAGGATGGGTGATAGATCAAGAGTTGGCATGGTTGCTGCCGCCGATTTGAGATAGATGCTTGACTATGTCCACCCAATCCATTCCTCGTGCCACCTCACCCTTGTGGTCGGTCCTGTCGGCCAACTTTCTCTTTGCAGATTTTGACAGTTGCTCTTTCTTTTCCTTAATTTTCTTCTCCAGTATGTCATTGTCTCCCTTTTCGATAAAGAATTTTTACTGTAGTATGATTGTTTACTGTGCTCCGGTATATCCTACCATCTGGCCTACACTAATGATATGTGAAAGCATATAAAGGTCTCTACTTTATGGTTTACATGTACCATCGGGAAAAAAGGCTAACTCATTACACAGACGTTTACCTTTATCGTGACCTCGGCCATGAGCGGGACTAGTTCATCTGGTTGGTCTGCCATCAGTTCCTCACTGTTCTCTTTCACAAATTCGAGTAGTGTGTACGTCATAGCAGAGCCAATCCACTCCTCTGCATACTCTTCGACCTTGGTCACCACAGTAGTCTTTACCTGCAAACAATTTCCAACAGCATGAAATGAGGATTCATCTTCTAGATTTGAGCCTCGGAGCTACAAATGAAACTTGATTGGACCACTTATTATTACGAGCAAGTGTAATGCAACAATAGCGAGGGAGGAGAGAGGGGTTGAGACAGATAAAGAGCGAGCGAGAGTGAGATAGTGCAAAACAGAGAGCAGAAAAGAGGAACAGTGAAAGGGAAAAAGAACTTGAGTGGGATATCGCATGTAAAGGGACAAGTTGCTGTATTATCAATTGTCACCGCTGAAAAAAATCCGGTGAATTACACTGCAATGGTACTGCATCATATTACTCAGATTCAGACAATTAATATGCCAACTACCACCAAGTGAGGATCCTAACATTATCTCTCAGATTCTGTACGTAGGAAACTTTGCGACTGCAACAACACCAGTTGGCCTAATCCTTATATGTACGTTCATCACCTGATCACTAATATGTTTGTTGAAGAAGGCACCCATAGAGACTTTTGGCTTCTCTTCCGGATATGTTTCTCCCCAAATAATCTCTACAAGAAAGCTTCGACTCTCCTTTTCGGGATGAATATACTTGTACTGGAACGTTTTCTCGTTGACCTTCTTGAAGTTGTCGTCACCCTCATAAATAGAATCGAGCACTTCCAGCTCTTCCTACAGAACAAAGTATCACCATATATATATATATAAGTTAATTAGCAACCAGATATGATACCGCAAATGGTCTAACTGATGAACGTAAATAGACGGGTGTGTATAGTGTATTGTGTATGAATTGTGAAGGATATAAATGCTACTGCATAGTTGTGACGTATAAGTATATTTATCATTACCATTTGAAGTTCGTTGCAAGTCATCTCCAATATTTAGTCGGGAAGTATCTTACTCTACAAAAACAGGAATGCAATTAAATCTTTCACAAAATATCACATCTATGATATCCAGTATCCAGCGATTTTAGACCGAATAATTCTGTCCCATATAACCTTTTTTATATTTTGGTGAGGGTTATATTGGGACAGAACGGGGTTCATTGAAATTTCGTGAGATCGCATGCAAAATTCATGCGCTGCGAATGCGGCCCGTACGTCGCTATTGGCGCGAAAAAAACCCTACCGTTTCCTTCTACATGACTTTACCTTGCTACAGATATGTGTATACATTCACTTCAATCGTTATTCACTTCTTAAAAGATTGTTTTTCAGACACCCCGCTTCATTTAACTTTCGTAAATAACATTCGCCATTTACAAACAATCAGACCTAGAACCAGAACCATCTGTGCAATCAGAAATAAAG